GGTTTTTTTTTTCTCTTTGCGGGGGGGGGGGGGGGGGCTTAGACAGGCGGGCAAACTTGAACGGGCGGACAAGCCTCCGTGGGCGTACACGTGCCCGCCATTGGAATTGGTGTGGGCCCTGCAAACATCGGAGGGGGAGAACGAGGGAGAGTGGGAGGAAGTGAGGGGGAGGGACGAATAAACAGGGAAAGCGCCAGGAGGGAAGGAGCGAAGAGGAGGGCGGTTGATTAGAGGCAGAGAGACAATGAGAGAGAGAGAGAGTGAGACAGATAAGAGAGGTAGAAAAAGAGAGAGAGAGAGAGGTAAGAGAGAGAAAGAAATATGGAGGGAGGAGGCAGGAGAGGGGAGGGAGAAGGGAGGAGGGAGAGGAAGGAGAGGGGATAGATAGGGCAGAGAGGCACAAGGATGAGGGAAGAGAGGAGGGAGAGAAAAGGGAGGCGAGGAGGGAGGAGGGAGGAGGGAGAGGGAGGAGGAGCAGGAAGGTAACAGCGTGAACGTTCGAGGAAGTCCTAGACGAAACCGCCGTTCCTGAAGGAAGTCTCTACCGGGAGCCCACGACGGGCGGGCGATCCCCTGACGGGCGGGTCGGGCGGTCGGGACAGTCAAGCGGGATGCCTGAGTATGGCGAGAGCGCGATTCCTAAGTAAAGTGTGACGGCGTTCTTGGCGCAGCGTGTTTCCTGAGCGTGGAAAGGGCGATTTCTGAACAAACTGCATGGCAGTCACATGCGAGAACGCAATTCCTGCAGAAAATGTGAAGGGTTCTCTGGCGGGAGCGGGGGTCTTCATTAAATTGCTAGGGAGTCTTGATTCAATTGCAAGGAAGTCTCAAGCGGGAGCGCCGTTCCTGAGTACATGGTGAGGAAGTCTCAGATGGTAGCGGGGGTCCTGACTGAATTGCGAGGAAGTCACCGGGGGGAGCACTAATCCTGAGTAAATTGTGAGGAAGTCTCAGGTGCGGGGGTCTTGAGTAAATGTGGAAGAAGTCTCAGGCGGGAGCCGTTGTTGTTGTAATCCGTGGGGCCAGGGGCCCAGTTTGAGCAGGAAGACTTTCCCTATCAAAAACAGGGTGCGAGCGTCGAAGGGCACACTTTGACTGAGAGGAAACAGTATGCACCGGTGAGGGGGGACCCACAGTAATTATTCTTTAGAAGTGAGACTTCAACAGCGCAACAAGCAGAATTCTCACCACGAAATCCCTATTCAGCCACGCACCCAGGGACAATGAAAGACCGTTCGGCCCCCTCACTCTGATGTTTCACTGATGTGGGCGTTTGCTGCTATCCTTCTGCTCTGCAACGGTCCAAGACGACCCCAGAGGCCACCAAGATGACCCCAAGAGCGCTCAGGAGGCCTCAGAGATGGCCGCCTGACGGCCCAAGAGCCTTTGAAAATGGCCCCAAGAGGGCGTCAAGACGGCCCAAGAGACCAGACGGCCTCCAAGACGGCCCTGAAGCGCCCCAAAAGAGCCCCAACTTGGCCCAGAGAGGCCCCCAGGACGGTTTCCAACGGTGTCAGACGAGCCAGGAACGCCCGAAGACGGCCAAAGAGCCTTCCAAGGAGCCTCCAAATACCTCAAGGGGCCCAAGGAAGCCCACGAGAAGTCCCCCACAGGCACCTGGGAAGCTCCCAGGATACTCAAAGAGTGCCCCAAGACGCTCCCAAGAAGCATCCTTCTCCTCATCCTTCATTTTCCTCCCTCTCCCTCGTTTCTTCTTCCTCCCCCACGTGCTCCCCGCACAATTCCCACTACGGCTCTGAGAACACATAGTCTGGTAGCTTGGCCCAGCTCTGGCCGCAACGTCAGGCCACGTAGGCGCTAACAGACTGCAGGGGGCTGTGGTAATTCGTCTTCGATCCTCCGCCACCTGTGGCTTGCCTCAGGGGTGCACGGCATGCAAAACGTTCGAGTGTTTTTGGTTCTTGCAAATCGATTCCCGACGGCCTTCGGCCTAATTCGCTGGCCACCCAGGAACATTTGTACTCCATTGGCCTCCCCTCGTGAGATGGCCCAAAGATGACCTCCAAGACTGCTAAGATGGCCTCCAAGAAGGATGGTATGCGCCCCCGAAGAGGGTCCAACATGGCCCAAGTCTGTCTCCAAGACGGTCCAAGTTGCACCCAAAACAGCCTAACAGGTGGTATCAAGATAACCCAAGACGGCCCAAGAGGCCCCCGACACCGCCCCTCGAGTGCCCCAAAAAGGGCCCAAGAGGCCTCCAAAACACCCAAGATGGCTTCCAAGACGGCCCTGAAGCGCCCAAAGATGGCCCAAAGTCGGTTTAGAGAAGGCCCGAAGATGGCTTCTGAGGACGTCAGACGGGCCAGGAGCGCCCTAAGATGGCCAAAGAGGCTCCCAAGAAGACCCCAAAGGCCCCCAAGAGGCCCAAGGATGCCCCAAAGAGGCCTCCATCAGGCTCCCAGGACGCTCCCAGGAGGCCCAAAGAGTGCCCCCAGAGGCCTCCCCATCCTCCTCCTCGTCCTCCTCGTCCTCCTCCTCCTCCTCCCTGTCATCCTCCTCCCCCTCATCCTCCCAAAAGTGTGCCCCGACGAGTTGCCAGAGCGGCTGGGTAAATACATGGTCCGATGGCTTGGCCAAACCCTCGCCAATCGTTTGGCAAACAGAGGCGCTTCCCAAAAGGGCTGGGGACGACGATGATTTGCAGCAGGCGCCTTCGGTACATAAAAACAAATTAGCAACACGGTCGTTCTCTGACGCGGGGATAAGCATAGTATCAATCAGGTATGGCACACACTCAAGAGGTCCCCGAGAACGCACGAATTCAGGATACGCTGAATTCGGGATACGCTGAATTCAAGCTTCCGGGATGCCCAGCGAGAGCCCCGGGAGATTTCCCAGACCACCTCGAAAGAGCTCCCAGAGTGACAAAGAAGGGCGCCCGACAACTTCAATTAATAGACTGCTTTGAAAGTCAAGCCTTGCGCGTGCCCCTTTTGTATCTCTCTTGGCGCCCTCGTGGCGCCTTCTTCTAACCCGACATGCTCTCCGAAGACGTATTGGAAACCCTGCGAGACGGTCCGGGAAGGCCACAAGAAACAGCAAAGCAAGATGCGATGCAAGCCCCTGGTCCCTCATGCCCCAACGCCCAACCCCCCTTGAAACCCCCAAAACCCAATACTCGAAGTCCATAAGACACGCAGACCCGTAAGCTCGAAATGCTTAAGACAATAAGCGGACATCCCCGAGCAATGAGGGGCTTAATTGCCAGTCTGCGTTCCCAATGCGTAGCAAAGTTAAAAGAGCCGGAAAAGGCCCGCGGAAAAAACGGTTGGCCTGGCCAGGTCTGCAACCTCGTGTCTTTGCCTTGCAATGCACCAGCAGCAGCAGCAAGCTCAGCAGCAGCACCAGCAGCAACAGCAGCATCAGTGGAGGGTTGCACCAACGGCTCTATGCCGATCGTCGTCAAAGCTGAGGTTGCCCTGAATACGCTTTTGAGCTCATGTGTAACAATGCTTCGGGGCGGTTTCATCACATGTCTGTTCATTGTTTAGTTTAGGGTCGCGAGTCCTTGGGAAGACACTTCATTTGGTGTTTGGGAGGCCCATCGCATTCTGCAAGTTAGCATGCCTCGCCGATTATCTTGCGACCACCAGCGGCCTGAGGCAGGAGAGCGCAACTGCCCACTCGCTCTTCCCAAGGGGGCGCAGGCAAGAACCTGTGGCATCGGTTCGGGTAAACTGGCCGTGCTGTCCTGTCTTGTCTTTCCACTCCAGGGGCAGGAAGGTTGCACCAAGCAGTTCCAGCAGCAAGACCAGCAGCGCAACAGCACCAGCACTGCCTCTTTCTCTGTCTGTCTCTCGCTCTCTCTCTCTCTCTCCCTCTTAATGTACATATGTTCTCTCGTCTCTCTCGTCTCTCTGACTCTCATCTCCCTCTCTCTTTCTGTCGCTCTCTTTTTTTTTTTTCTCTCTCTCTCTCTCTCTCTCCCTCTGTTTCCGCGTCGCCGTCTCACATTACGCCCCCCTTGGGAGGCCCCGAATAGACGTACGCGCCCAGCCACGTACATGTATATGCCCACCGCCGAGTTCCCGAGGCCGCCTCACGTGTGTCACGAGCGGCCGCGCTATGCGCCCTTCCCGAAACCCATGCGAATTCGTGCAGGAAGTATGCTCGTGCCGCCCCCGAGCTCCCCACTCCTCCCTCCGTCCCTCCACTCTGCCCTCGACCCCCGTCCCTCCCTCCATCCCTCCCTCTGCTCTCCCGCTGCCCCCCTCCTGAGCCTCCGACGCGGCGGGCTCTCTCGATCGCGGGCCCCCCCTCCCCCCCCCCCCCCAAGGCCACGCGCTTCGCCGCCCGCCGCCTCTTCGAGGCCCCGACGAGGCCCAGAACGGGCCTCCCGAGGCCCAGGCTCGGCACGGAGGCGCGGCTGCAGGCGTCTTACGCGTGCAAGACAAAAGGGGGCCACACCATGCGATACGAAAGTAAGCAGATGCTGTACATACAAGCGTCTGATGCAAATACCCTGCACACGTGTACTGATGCGTGCGCGGGCGGAACTTCTCGGCGTCGGCGTCGTTCCCACGGGCGACAACAAGGGCCACAGAAACTTGAGGTCCCGAGGGGGGCTCATGTCGGGGCGACATCGGCGCGCTCCCCCGAAGCGCCAATCGCGGCATTTCAACTATCCGATAAGATCGACCGAACTTCCGGACGCGCCAAACACAATTCAACAACAACCACCACCACAACAACCACAACAACAACAACATCATCAACAACAACAATCACAGCCACAGCCACATCCACAACATCAACAACACCAACAACAGTAACACCACCAACAACAACAGCACCAGCAGCAACAACAACAACCACAACCACAACCACAGCCACAACAACAATCACAACAGCAGCACAAACCAACAACAACACCAACAACAACCACAACCACAACAGCAACCACCACAACAACAACAACACAAACACCAACAACAACCACAACAACAACCACAACAACAACAAGACAATAACCGAACCACCTGGCCCCTCCTCGGGGCTCCCGCTGCCGCCCGCGCGCGGGCGCCTGCGGATCGGAGCCGCGGGCCGGCGGGAGCGGCTGGCTGGCCAAAGAAGGCGCACGCCGCGGCGGCGGGCGAGGGAGGGGGGCTCGGGCCGACGCGGCGCGCGGACGCGGGTCGGGGATGGACAGACCTCCCTTTAGCAAAACGTGGTTTAGTGAAAACGACCTGAGGCCCAAACCTGGCGGGCGCAAGCCTGGAAAATAACGGCCGCGGCGCCCTGTCGAGAACCGAGAACGGACAATTCACTAATCGACGTGTCACTGTTGGGGGTTCTGTCCACCCCCGAGCGGGGAGAGTGACAGACTCCGGGAGGGCCCAGCCCCGCACACGCACGAAGAAATGAAGAACACATTGTTTAAGAATTCTGGGCTGTGCTCCTACAGGTCCGTCTCGGGGTGTCGCTGTAGAAAACAAAGAAGACCAACATAGAGATCCAGGGCGAATGAAGATGTAGATATCTCTGGGGCCTCGGACTTCAAGCATCACATTGTCGCGTGTCTGGGAACGCACCCCCAGGACAGCTCACTTACCCACATGAGGTGTAGCAGCCTCTGCGCAGCTTGGGCGAGCTCGGGTTGGGCGACGGGTCTGCGTCCCTGCGGCGCCGCAAGGACGCCTGCGGGCTGGCCAACGAAGGCCACGAGCATTGTCTCTGGCGGTGCCCGGACTTGGAGGGCCCGCGCCGCGCCGCGCTATCTGCAGCCCCGCCGTCGGAAACGCTGCCGGGGCACGTCTGGGCCTTGCGGTGGCTGCTGTTGGCGAGGGTCGCGCAGACGGGATTATATGCCCTTGGCGTCGCCACCGCTCCTCGCTGCCCTCGCAGAAGCTGCCGCAAGCGAAGACCCGCAGCTGTCGACCCAAGCGGCGCTATCCCCAGAAGCACGCGGCCGCTCAGTGTGAGCGACGGGGCGTGCCTCCACCCCACTGACCCGCTGCTGGCGCGAGCGGCATACGGCCTCCGACTCGCGGGTCTCGAAGCCCCCAACCTCGCCGGCCTGGTCGACGGGCTGCAGACAGCGCGCAGAGCCGAGGTGACGGCCGCGGTGGCGGCAACTCGCGTAGACGGCGACCCGATCGACCACGCCTCTGACAGCCAGTACGTGGTGCAAGCGTGCACCAAGATCGAGGCCAGCGCCGACACGGGGGACTGGGCAGTCGGACTGGGAGCACGCCGACCTGAGGCAGCAGCCGTGGGCAGCAGACGGCTCTGGGCCCGCTCGGTACCAGCAAACAGGGCGCACGAAGTGTCTGCTCGGGCGGCCTACGTCCCCGCCGGCCAGGCGACGCCAGCGCCGACCTGCCCGCGCCAGAGAGTGACAGGCCAGGCGCTCGCTGCTGCCCCTCGCCATCGCGGGCGGGCCTGGCCACGCGCTCTGCCTCCGCGGCGGCGGCACCGCGGCGTCGGCAGCGGAGATGCCGGAGTACGCGTGCCCTGGGTGGCGGGAGCGTGTGCCAGCGAGCAGGCGGGGCTGCTGCCGAGCGATCTCTGCGCAGTGGGCGGCACGGGGGATTTTTGCACGCCTTCCTGCGCGACGCAGCGCGCAGCTCCCAGAGGTCCCGGACGGAGCCTTCCGAAGGGGGGGTCCAGCGCTCGTTGGCGGCGAGCGCGCTCGTGCCCGCTGGGGAGAGCGAGGTGTGGCGGCGGCCACGGCTCCAGCAAAGGTGTGCGCCAAAACCTACCCTTTGGGCCATGGGGCCCCCTCTCCGGGCCACCTCTGTTCTGGAGTGACACTTGGCCTTCCCGGGAGGCAGGGCAACCGCACGCGAAGCGCAGGGCACCATCGGGACTTCAGAATCTGAAGGATGCCTGCAGCCGGCCGGAACTACACTTGAGGATGTGGCCACCTCGTCCTCCTCTGCTGGAGGTTCGCTCTGGAGCGTTCGGGCCACGCTGGAGGGGGCCGTGCTGAACACGACGACGCGCGCGCAATCCTGGCAGGCACCAGAGCCCCGAATGATCCACACAAACAACCGCACGCGCCGATACACAGAGAAGAGAAACCACCATAAACATAAACTCTTGGCTAGGAGGAGGAGGGAGGAAGAGGATGAGGAGAAGGAGGAGGAGGAGGAGGAGGAGGAGGAGGAGGGAGGAGGAGGAAGGAGGAGGAGGAGGAGGAGGAGGAGGAGGCGGAGGAGGAGGACCCCCACCCCCACCAGAAGTCGAAGGGGGAAGGAGGAGGAGGAGGAGGAGGGGAAGGAGTTGGCCTTGTCTCTGCTTCGAGATACGGGTTCTACCAGCGCAGACCCCCCTCGCGGAGATCGGCCCTCTCGAGCGGCCCCCCTCGCAGGAGGAGCAGCAGCAGCAGCGGGCGGGGCGGCGGCAGAGCGGCGGCGTGCCGAGCGGGGCAGAGCTGCGGCAGGCGCGCGCGCGCGCCGTTCTCCGGACAGTCCTCAGGGCCTGTGGCGCCCGGATCGCACCACGGGGGCTGAAAAGTACCACTACCATTGGGTCGGGCACGTCCTCCTACAGGCGGATGGTGGTGGACGACAAATCCTGCATGGCCAAACATACGCAAACAATCGAACACAGTAGGAACATCGTCCCCAGACTATTGTTTTTTTGTTTTAATAATGTTTGAACATTCCTCCTGTAGGGGGACACGCCCGACTTGAGACTAGCAGTGCTCTCCAGGCCTCCCCCGAGCGGCGCCCGTCCATCGTGCTGGTCCCCTCAGGCCCGCGGGCCGCAGCCCCAGACCCAGATCGACGGGGCACTGCGACATCCACAGCACGACAAAGCATTCGTGATGTGCGACCTGCCGGACGAAGAGCAGCAGCAGCAGCAGCAGCAGCAGCAGCAGCAGCAGCAGCAGCAGCAGCAGGCCAGGGAGGCGCGCCAGCGAGCGGCGGCGCGGCGCGGCGCGGCGCGCGGGCCGCCTCAGCGCCGCGGCCCGCCGCGGGCGTGGGCGCTCCGCGGCGGGGTGGCGGGTGCCGCTCCCCCCCCCCTCGGGCGGGTGGAACAAAGGGGGTTGGCCCGAATTCGGAGAAACGTAAAGCTCGAGTTCGCTGGAACTCGCGTCTGCCTGTGCCTCGTGGCGGTCCAGTTGCGTGGAACATCTGCAGCGGGAGGTCGCGTCGATTTTCAGTGGGTCTCGTCATTTCCCGGCGGCCGCGACAGGCCAACCCGAATCTCTGGAACCCGAGTCTGACGTCTTCCCGATGCATGGGTGGTGGAGACCAAGGCCTTCAAGGGGTCCTTCAGGGCCACTTTTGGACCCTAAATGGCCGCCCTAGCGAGCCCTTTTCTTCACCTCCCATGTAGGTCACCCCCGCAATAGATTCGGGGCAATCGTCTTGCAAATGTATTGCGTCGGAGAATTGGATTGCATTCTATTGCAACTAAAATATTGCGCGCAACGATCCAGCAATACATTTGCGCCCCGGAATGTATTGCACGCCCCAAGTGCATTGCAACCCCACAAATCTTTTGCACCAAATCTATTGCACAACCGCCTTATCGCTGGACCCGCTTTCTGGGCCAACCCGACCATTACCACCCGCCCGAACCCCTTCCTTGGGCGGTGCCAGAGGTGTTCCCGGTCTCCCCGGGTCACGCTGCATGCTCGGGCCCGATCGGTCTATCCCGTCGCGCAGCCTGTCCACGCCGAATCCACGCCGAGTGTCGAGCCCGCGTCGAGTCCGCGCCTGATCAGCGGCGAAGCCGCGTCGAAGCCGCGCCAGCCCCGCGTCGGGTACAAGTACAAGACCCTATTTCAATAGAAGCAGCGAAGTCCCTCGGAGATGCAATCTAACAAAGGTGCAGGGGCCCTGGGACACACAAATAAATACACACAAATAAAAGGATTCCCCATATTTTCCCATATTTTCGGGGTTTTTGTCTTCCCCCCACGTCCCATATTTCCCCATATTTTCTGGGGAGTCGACGATTAATTGTGTCTGTGTGTTTCTTTCCCTCCTGAAAAGGGAAGCCCCACGACATCCAGAGCACCCCTCACGAGACCCATGCTGGGGACAATAATGCTCATACTGACACCGATGGCTGGTTCTGACCAGGAGTTCGAAGCGAATCAAGCCGTGGCGGCGAGGGCTGACCAGGACGGACAAACACAATATCGATATCTTTCCCTCCTCAGGGCCCCCCGGCGAGCAAACAAAACTCCATGGGTATACTGTGCTGGTATTACTTCCGGCAAGGGTCGGGAGCGGCCAAGAGGGGGGTGTCCAAGAGGGGGGGTGCAAATCATCACCGGCGGCATGTGCGCGGCCCAGCGGGGGGGCCAGGGACGTAACGAAATAAGAAGAGGCGCCATGACATCTGGGGAAATATCATGGCCCCCCCCCTAGTCATCACCCCCCTCTTTGCCGCCCCCGAAAGGGTCCTCACCCGCAGGGGGCCCACGAGGGCCGGGGCCCCGGGCACAGGTGGCGCTCGAGCGGGGTGTGGCGCAGTCCGGGGCGGGGATCTGCGCTGCGATCGCCATGGCACGCGCGCGAGTACCAACGTGTGGTGGGGCTCCAGCGCGGATCTCCAGCGCGGATCCGAGAAACCCGCGCGGACCTCCGAGCTTGTACACTTCAATAACCTGCTCGTTCCCCGGATGTGGACACAAGTTTGGCCCGCAAGGGGTACCCTGTGGCAGCCCCCGACCCTCCCCGCGGCCCCGCGCGGGCGCGCGGGCGCGCATGGGGGGGGCGTCTCCGTCGGGCGGCCCGCTCGGGGCGCGCGGGCGCCGCCGTCAACCGATGGACGGACGTGGACGATCGCGGCCAGCGTCGATCGTCGTCGTCGTCGATCTTGGCCGTCGTCGGCGTCGTCGTCGTCGCCGTCGGCGTCGTCGTCGTCGTCGTAGTCGGCGGTCGTCATCCATGCCAACGGTCGTCGCCGTCGTCGTGAATCGTCGATGTGTCGCCGTCGTCGTCGAGGATCGTCGTGCGACGTTGTCCGCCGCCGTTCGTCGTCGTCGTCGTCGGGGAGGGGGACCCACCGCCAACCCAAGACACCCGCCTGCACCTCCGCAGGCAGCGTGCTAACAGAAGGGATACAAGATAAGGAGAGGAGGGGCCTTCCAGGCCGCGGCGAGCTTCGGCCGAGGAGAGGTTCCCCGATCCAGGTCTCAGGAACGGCCCGAAAACCAGAGCCTCTCCTGAGCCTCAGGTGGAGGGGAGGACTGGCATGGTGGGGGGGGGGACATCGACCTGGAATCGGCGATACATCGCCGATAGATCGGCGATGAGCCCCCGATAGTGAATCCGCGCGTTCCTGGGCAGGTTGGGGCTATCGCCCCCCCCATCGGCGATCAATGGGCGATTGGATGTTGATGCATCCCTCCCATGCCTATTACCCCCTCTCGTTGCCCCTGACACGTGGTCCTTCTGTCAGCGTCGTGACTGTGCTGCTTGCGCCCCGTTCTGCACCAGAAGGCCCAACTGTCAGGGCACGACGCGTCGCGGCCGCCTCCCCAACCAGACCGCCAGCGCCGTGAACGGGGATCCATCTGGGCGTGGGCTCCTGGAATAGGGGGCCACATGCGAACCCTACCCCTCCCTCCCCCTCAGAAATCGTGGGGGGTAGGGGTAGGGTTCGCACGTGGCCCCCTACGGAAGTTCCCTCGGCCCAACCCCCCGGGCACTGCACAGTCGTCGCGGATGCTGCTCTGATGGCCTTCCAGGAGGGCCCGTGCGCCCGTCGTCTGCTCTTCCCCACGGCGCCCGCAGACCTGGGCCGTCACCGCCCCCGCCGAGGCACACCCGCGCCGCGCGCGCGCGCGCGCCCTCTTGGACCCGACGCGCCCGCGCCGCCCGAGCCGGCGCCCCTCGGCTGCAGCCGTGCCGCGAAGCGGTCGGTGGCGCCGACGAAGGCACTGACGTTCTCCGGGTCCCACTGCGAGTGCCCGCCTTGTGTCGCCCGCCGCCGTCCCGTCGGGCCGTCTGCCGGGCGGCTGGACACCACCCGTGGACAGACTCACGCGTGAAGCATCTGGAGGCCGCGTAGTGGACGCAGGATGCACATGCGGAAGCTGGGCCTGCACGGCCATAGAGGGACTGGCCACACGTGTATCCACCTCTCGCCGAGGCTGGCCGCGTCATGTATGTCCAGCTTCCTGGTGGTAGAGTATTGCATCGATGTTGAGCAGTCTTGAGCTCCCTTTGGGGACCCTCTTGGACTGTCTCTGGGACCTCGTGGGGCTCCCTTGGAGCTCCCTTGGGCCTCCTCAGGCGCATGCTTCGCCCGTGTCGGAGCCTTCTGGTGGCATCTTGGAGACATGTTGATCCGAAGACGCCTGACCCTGTGTAAAACCTCGGCATTGTTCTTGACAAGTTCGATGTTGGCCGTATCGGGCCTCTCTGAGCGCACCTTGGCGGCTTCTTGAACCCCTGAGGGAGGCCCCCCTTCGAACTTCTTGGCCATGTTGCAATCGCTTGGGAACCTTTGCACTGCAAGAAACCATTGCCAAAACAGGTGCGGAAATTTGAGGCCTGCATTGCATCCAAACTCATGTACCGCTTGCACACTCCGTGGATCAACAAGCAGAAAAAAACCAATTGGGCGCCTTCCCAACTCGCTGCTTACGAACAATCACCGGAATTGGGCATTCATACATTAGTCACATCACCAATGAGTCCGCGCTTGCCACCTGCAGTTGCAGCGAGCCGGGGTTCTACTGGCATACAGACAACTGGTCCTGATGGGCATCGCCCAGCAACCAGATGGTAGCGCAATTAGGCCCTGCCTTTTCCATCTGGGGAGCTTCGCCCCAGCCGGCCCGCTGGCCCCCGCTAGCGTGGCTGGCCTAGAAGCACTTGGAACCAGCGTGTCTACAACTTAGCATGCCAGGCATCAGGTGGGCCAGCGCCTGCGCAATATTTGTGGCAAAGGACCGCGCACGCATACGCTTCTGCGTTCAAGTGCTGGCGTTAGCCCGACTTTCCATGTATCCCCCATCAAAATGATTGGGTGTGCCACGTGTGAGCATTGATTGACCCGTTCCCTCACCACTGTGCCCCTCGTCGTTGGTCCCTGCCCTGGCTCTGAGGGTGTTCATAAGCTTATTTCGGGAATCGCCGCAAGGATCCTGACATACAAACACTCATTTGCGAAATTGCAAGCATGTTCCACAGCTGGCCGCTGGAATCATTACTAGAGCGGTTTGTTTCACCATCTTGCCAACGCACATCTCTGCCCTGCTCGGCTCTCTCTGTCTCTTTCCTCTCTCGTTCTCTCTTTCCCTCTTTTCTAGGAGCGTCTGAAGACATCACGAATGCCTTCTCAAAGTTGAACCGCCTTGGAGACCATGGGCCGTCTTGAACGGCTCTTGAACCCCCCAAATTCCACAACAATAACACAACCAACCACCGAGCAATCTAAAAATCCGAATATTCTCCCCGTCGAACTCCCCCTCTTGATCCAAACGAGAATCCGTTGCGGTTCTGGTCGTGAAGCGAACCACCCTGCTTGAGCAGCCGCTTCAGTTCTCAAAAGCGCTAGTGCAGATCGGCTCGCCCTTTCATCCACCTTGACGAAGCCACGAAGCCTCTGTCCCAAGACGGGCTGGGATGTGTCCAGGGTTCTGTGACAGATCTGCCCCCAGTCGGGCAACATTCTGCTGGGCTCCACTCTGCATGTCGGGAGGCCTGAGGGACGCCGAGCCCTCTTCTTGGCGGGGGTCGCGCGAGGGCGGGCTGCCTTCTGAGAAGGCGGATGAGCTTCTTACATCTTCTTGCATGGCAGGGCGGCTTCTTAGACGCCCTCCCGAATTCGAGCGATGCTCATCAGGCGCCCTTGGGGTCTTCAGAAGGCCCAGGATCGTTCAGCGCCCCGCCGGCTCAGCAGACCGCCCCTCCTTGGCGCCCGCCTCCCGCCTCTGCGCGCGCACCTCCCTCCCCCATTAAAACAGGGCTAGGATCGGGATAAATCGCTCCAGAGCGGCCGCGGCGCCCAATACATCCTCCAAACCCGCCGATTCTCAGAGACTTCGAGTTATCCCGATCCGATTTTGTCCCGATCTTCGCGTCGTGTTCCCCATCCCACCCCGGGGACGCCTTCGGTCAGCAGGAGCTCGGCCTGCGGCGCCGCGGCCGCGAGGTCCGTGGCGTTCTTCACGGGGCAGATGCAGTCGTTCCGCCCGTGCACGATCGCCAGCGGGAAGGCGAACCCGCGAGCCTCCTCCAGCAGCGAGAAGCCCCGCGGGAAGAAGCCCCGCCGCTCCACGTAGCGCATCGTCAGCAGCGCCTGCGTCCGCGCGCCGTCGCCCAGCCCGAGCCACAGTGCCGCCCGCAGGGGAGCCAGCGCCACCCCGGCAGGCAGAGGCGCGGGCCACGGCGGAGGCGCGGGCGGACCGGCGACGACTGGCCGGGCAGCGGCCATGAGCGCGCCCTCCCACGCCAGCCACCTGCTCACCGCATCCTCTGGCCCTATGCCGGCCGCTGCCCTGCCCAGAGCGGCCCGGCAGAAGGCCGAGGCGATCGCGTGGCCCGACGCGCCCTCTGCCCCCGGGATCCACTCCGTCAGGCTCTCCCAGGCCCCCGGCGGCGCCGCGCAGCGCGCACCTCCGGCCCCAGGGCCCAGGAAGAAGTCGAACTCCTCGTCTCGGAACAGGCAGGCCGCGCGCAGGACCACGCCGAGCACCCGGGCGGGGTGCCTTGCCGCGTACGCGAGCGCCAGGCAGCTGCCCCAGGAGCCACCGGCAACCAGCCAGCGGTCGATCCGCAGACGCTCCCTCAGCCTCTCCATGTCGTCCACCAGGTCCCAGGTGGTGTTCGCCCGCAGCTGCTCCGCAGCACCGCCAGCTCGCCGGCTCCTCCCACAGCCCCGCTGGTCGAACAGCACCACGCGGTACAGGGCGGGGTCGAACAGCTGGCCAGCGCGAGGGGGGCAACCGGCACCGGGGCCGCCGTGCAGGAAGACGGCGGGCACGCCGTCGGCTGCCCCCCGCTCCTCTGGAGATGCGGATATACAGACACCGCTACTCCCCGAACCTCTCCCAGGGTGCGTTCTGCCCAGGATTTCGCGGCGAACCCAGCGGTGGCGACGAGGGCCTCGCAGGAGGCTCCACAAAGGGTTCAGAGAGGCAGGGGCAGCGGTGTCGGTATACATTTTCCTCCTGGTCCTCGTAGCTGATCCTGAAGCCGCCCCCGTCCGGCGCGTCGAGCACCCCGCCGCCGAGAAGGCCGCCGCCGGCGTGGAGGCCCCTCGGCGGCCCGCGCTCGTGTCCCTCGGGCCCCTGCCGGGCGGACTGCAGCGCCGGGCGAGCGCGGCGGGCCCGCCTCGATCCGCCAGGCCTCCAGACCTCCGACGTCGTGGTGTTGCCATAACGGCGACCCCCAGAGGTCTGGCCCAAAGACGAAGCTGGGACGAGGATAACCTCGAAAGCGGATAAAGCGAGAATCTCGGAGATCCGGCGGCTCTGGGGGACGTATGGGGGGCCGCGGCCTTCTCAGCGCGTTCCGGAACGCTCTGAGAGCGTTCCAGAAGGCTCTGGAACGAATTTTATTGCCGTCCGAGGACACCTTCCCCAGACTGGTCGTTCATCCCGAATCGATTTCTGACGGCCCCGAGGCCCGGTGAGGGTCCTCAGAGGCCAGAACAAGCGGCAAACCGCCCTTGGCGATTTGCTCCCCGACAAGCCGGAACTTCAGACCCGCTCCCCGCGGGGCCGGTTTTTTCATCCTGAATAATTTGCTGAAGCTCCCCGGGACCAGCGAGGGCCCCCTGCAGGGGCCGAGAATCATGAAAAACTTGCCGTCCTGATGTTTTAACGGCGCGATCATGTCTGGGTTCGCAACGCGAGGGGGTCTTCTGACCCGGGTCAATCCAGACCCGGGTCAGCAAAAAACCAAAAACTGCAATGCAGGAGAAAAAACCTGCAACGCAGGTCTTCGCAAACACGGGTCAGCCGATATGCGCGGCCGCCTCGCGGCCACGAGCGGCTCGCTAACCCGGGTCAGCCAGAGGGGGTCTTCGCAGGATCCTGCAGGATCCGGCGTCGTGGCTGACCCCCGTTTGCATTGACCCCCGTATCAAGGCTCCCGAACAACGCGCGTGTGTGCAGGGTTGTGTTATGGGGGCGAAGGGCGGGGGGGATGTGCGGCGTGCGTGCGGGATGTGTTCTGGGGACGACGGGCGGGCGGGATGTGCGGCGTGCGTGCGGGATGTGTTACGGGGGCGACGGGCGGGGGGATGCACGGCGTGCGTGCATGATGAAAGAGAAAGAGAATGAGGAGGAGGAGGAGGAGGAGGAGGTGGAAGAGGAGAAGGAGGATGACCGAGGATCATGTCTGGGTTCACAACGCGAGGGGGTCTGGCCTCCGCGCGGCCCCTTGCCAGCGGCAGCCCCCGGCGCTCGGCAGGGCCCCGCTGCGGCGCCGCCCGGGTGCCGCGGCGCGCGCGCCGAGGCCCCCTGCAGCCGCGGCCAGCGCGCCGCGCGCCGCGCGGGCGTGCGCCCTGCGGTGGGCCTGCTTTCCACCGCCACCACCATAAGTGGGAGGGGGAGGGTTTTTTTGTTCCTCCTCAGCGTCCTTCCCCGTCCTCCTCCTCCTCCTCCTCCTCTCCTCCTCCTCCTCCCCCTCCTCCTCCTCCTCCTCCTCCCCCTCCTCCTCCTCCTTCCCCCTCCCCCTCCCCCTCCTCCTCCTCCTCCTCCTCCCCCTCCGACTTCTGGTGGGGGTGGAGGTCCTCCTCCTGCTCCTCCTCCTTCTCCTCCTCTTCCCCTCCTCCTCCTCCTTCTCCTCCTCCTCCTCCTCCACCTCCTTCCCACTCCTCCTCCTTCCCCCTCCGACTTCTGGTGGGGGGTGTGGGAAAAAACAGGCCCGGCCAGCTCTGTGCGGGCCCCGCCTCGGGCCGCCCGCGGGGTCTGGGGGCGCGGCGCCCCGCGGATAGGAGGAGCAGAACACGGCAGGCACGTGAGCCGTCGACGGTCCGCGCGGAGCTATTCAGAGGGCAGAGCATCCACCTCCATACAGGACAGGTTTTAATACATAGGATAGTTATCGATATAGAAACTTTAATACATGATTCATTAATGGATAGTTGAATGCATAAACTCATCCTTGTATGTATTAATCAACCATTTCTTTTTTTAGTACATGGTCCGCACGCGGAGTTTGCATTAAAACCGGCGCTGTATGTTGTTCCCATCCTACTTAAGGACCACATCCCAGAAATAATCTCGAGCACCCAGAAGTGTCAAAAGAGTGTCGAAGCAGTATCGGGCAAGTGTCTCCCAGGGCCCGACACGTGAAAACCTCTGAGTTTCGGAATTTGTGCTGGCGCTCGAAATTCTTCGTGGTGGTCAAGGCTAAAGCAGGTTGGAACATCATAATTCAGATGGCAGAACATCCGCCTCCATAATCGGATGCGCGCAAGCATGGATTAGCGATCCATGGATTTGGTGCGCGGTCGCCAAATCCATGGATCGGGGGAGGTGCCCTCCCCCAAATGCGGCCAGTGCTGCCTACCCGGCGGCGGCCATTCGCGATTTCCCATGGAAACGGGACCCGCCGCTAATCCACGCCCCCTTGATCTATGCTTGCGATCGCCTGACATGAGGATCACCCCGACACGCGAAGCCGTGTAGTAAACGCACCCACGGAAGGAATCCAACGGGCCAGAGCGCTGTGTAGTAGACGGCCAAAGCCGTTTTGCCATCGCCGATGATCGGGTCCGGGTGTCTGTTCCTCCCTTGACTCGTGGACCTGCGCCGTGCCCCCTCCCCGCCGCGCGCGGAGCGCGCCAAGAGCGGCGCCGCAGGCGCCGCCAAGGGGGCCCAGTGCGGATGCAAAAGATCCGCGCGGATTTCCGACAGCTCACGTTTCTGCCGCTTTCCGTTCCCCGACTGCGTGCACTGGCAGGGCGGCCACGGCAGCACCACCTCCCCAGACCCCTGGCGACGCTCGGCCAAATCGGGTCGGATGGATTTCTTCTCCCTCTCGTGCGCCGTGGTGGGTCCAGGGGGGAAGGCTTGCATAGAACATCGTGGCCCAAGGCGTGTGCGCGAACGAGCTCGCGGGAGGGGGGGTGCAGGGGAGGGGGCAGTGTAATCCACGGCTGGACCTACGACAGACAAGAATCCTTCAAGAACGCGAGACCCTCGGGCGTCCCAACTGAAGAACGTCAACATCAAAGGGTACTTTCCCCAGGATGCACAAGAGCATTCAAAAAACACGAAGCACATTAGGAGGCCCTCCCCGAACCGACCTCGCTCTTATACCTCGGTCCGACCGTCAAAGAAGTCATTGCCCAGCCATGATGTCCACACCTCCAGGCCTCACCCCCCTCCTGCACGCCCCTGGCTTTCGGCGGGGCGCCCGTGCCTGGGCCCTGGGACCGCCACGGAACGGCCCAACCCCAGTTTTTGCCCCAGCAACGGAAAGGCAAGGAACACGCAAAGCACCGCATCTCTCCGGTCCGACTGCCAATCGCACGCAGCCTCACACAGCCTGCCAGGCTCGATGCAAAAATGGCGGGGTCTGGCGACCCAGAAAAGCCGAGTCGTCAGAGGTCTGGGCGATCCAAAGAAGCCGAATCCTCGGAGGTCTGGTCCCCGTCCCGTGCCCTCCGCATCCTGCAGACAGCCCCCGACCTCTCCGCGCAGTGAAAACACCACGACGGAGAGCTTCTGTACGACGAGGCTCGGCGAGCAAGCCTTCCACGCGAGCGGGCGTGTCGGCTGCTCGGCCCTGTGCAGGATTGAGGATCGGGAACTCGGAAGCAGGCGTGCGCCCTCGACTCGGACGAGGAACAGGACGAATCTAGAGGAAAAAACAAGCGGCGTAAACATAAACTTTGACGGCCCGCTCGGATTTCTTGGATCTGTGCTGACCAGGAGCACGCCAGGGGCGTCGCCGCAGGCGCCGCCAGGAGGGCCCAGCGCGGATCCAAGAAATCCGCGCGGGCCGTCGAAAGCTTCCTCTTTTGTTGTCCGATCGACTCGGATGAGGACCCTCCACCTATCCCCGCCCCTCTGCGCGTGACCGAGGGACAAATCGGACCAGGACCACATTGGGGATCTCTGAGATCTGGCGCTCTCGGTAGCGGAACGGCTGGTATCCCCCTCCGGGCCTCGCCCGACTCTGGCTGGTCTCGGGCTCCTCTGGCCCCTACCAGTGAATGAACCCCCTACAGATACCTCTCCTATCCTTTACTTGGTGGAAGGAAAACGGCATAACATGCGGCATAAACATAAGCATAAGCGTTTGACGGTCCACGCGGATTTCGTGGATCCGCGCTGGACCCCCCTCCCTGGCTCGCGTGGCGCGCCGGCGGTGGAGCCGGAGGCGCCGCCAGGGGGGCCCAGCGCCGATACAAGAAATCCGCGCAGAGCGCCAACAGTCTAATTATGCTCATGTTGTTTCGACCACTGTACCCGCTGCCCCTTTCGGCTCGCAGGTATTGGCTCGCCCGTTGGCTGATTCACGCACTGACTGCTGGACAGAGGAAGAGGGTAAAGCCTTCATCGTCGTCCTCCATTCATCGCTACCGCCTTCACCGACGGATGCTCGGGAGGGGATCGGCCCTTCGGTCCATCCTTCCCTCACACATTGCCCGGCCCCCGGACCGTCAAGAGTAAAGCGGCTCGAGATGAGAAGGCAGGTCAGCAGGAAGGGGTACCGCGCCGCTGAGAAGTGGCGGCGTCGGGAGTCTCGGAGCGCGCTACCAGGAGCGAGACCTCCCGACGACACGCCCTACTGGAAATGAACACATGATGGAGACGTCCTGCATGGGAGCAGGGGGCGCGCGTGCTCGAACCTCTCCCCCCCCCGCTCGCGCGCCCCCTAAAAAAAAACCGCGCACCGCGTGCCACTCCAGCGAAAGGGCTGCGGGGGACCACCTGGCATCGGCGGCCTGTCGCCGATGCATCGGCGACAGGCCGCCGGTGACTTCCCTGGGCGTGGTGGGCTACCAGGCCCGCGGGCGACGGATGCGTCAGTGGGGGTCGGCGCGGCCCCCCTGTCAGCCGAAGCCTCCTGCACGTGAAGCAGGCCGCCGAGGCAGCCCGCGGCCCCGCCCGAGGCCAGGCTGGGGCGCGGGAGCCCGCCCGCGCGCCCGAACGTCCGAGAACCTCGGACCTCGGCCCGTTTAGCATGGAGGGAAGCGGGTGCCGCACCCGGGGCCTCCCCCCCCCCAGGACCAGTTCTTCATCCAGAGTCGCCTTCTGCCACTCCCGGGGCCCGTGGAGGGCCGCAGGAGCCCGAAGAGGACGAAAAACCTGGGGAAGCGACCGGGCTTCCCGCAGGACCCGCTCCCCCCACGGCGACCTCTCCTCGACCCTCGAACCTGGCCTCGATCCCTCGAACCTGCCCTCGAACCTCCTGGCCTCACAAACGGCGACCTATCCTCGACCCTCGACCCTCGAACCTGGCCTCGACCCCCGCAGCCCCGCCCGAGGCCACGCCGCGGCGCCCGCGCACGCGCCCAGGCGGGGCCCGACGCCAGAGCCCGCGGCGGCCATGGCGCGGTCCGGAGGGGCGTCGGCGCCGCCCTCGCGCGCCGCGGGAGCTGGATCGGCGCCCGGCGGGTGCCGAAGACCCCAGCGCGCGAGCAACGGGCCGCAGTGCTGGCGCCTCCCTTTCCTCCTCCACAATGACTCAATATGAATACTACTCTCCCTCTTCCCCTGATGGCGGTTTGGAAGTGCTCGACCCCCCCCCCCTGCGTATTGTTTTTTACACACAGGTTTCCCCGGAGTTGGGTTTTCGCTTGCATTCTTCCCAAAATGCTGCTCTCGCTGAGGCGCCGGCCTCATTTTCGGGCCCCGCTCGTTCCGAATCGTGCTCCCGCTGCAGCGCTGGCATCATTTCCGTGCTTCCCCTCGTTCCGAATCGTGTTCCCGCTGCAGCGCTGGCCTCATTTCCGCGCTTCCGCTTGTTTCGCCTCGTGCTCCCGCTGCAGCGCTGGCGTCAGTTCCCGTGCCATGCCACGGCATGCAATGCAATGCTAGGTTGCAACTACGCTTCGCGGTGCTCTTCTACGCCATGCCATGCCGTGCTCTACAATGCATCGCGTACCCTTCTGGGATCATTGCCCTGCTCGATATCCGACTGTGCAAGAAGAGAGGGGATCTGCGCCATAGTCAGGGATGGGAGGGAGGGGTAGGATGTCAGATATGACGCAAGCGCACCTAGCTTGTCCTCCTCCTCCCCCTCCTCCTTCTTCTCCTCCTCGTCCTCCTCCTCGTCGTCCTCCTCCTCCTCCTCCTCCTTTTCCTCCTCCTCCTCCTCCTCCTCCTCCTCCTCCACATCCCCCTCCTCCTCCTCCTCCTCCTCATCTTTTCTGACGTTGATCGGACTTAAGCTTTGCAGCTGTAGCGTTCGTTACTCCTACTCCTCCTCCTCCTCCTCCTCCTCCTTCTCCTTCTCCTTCCCCTCCTCCTCCTCCTCCTCCTCCTCCTCCTCCTCCTCCTCCTCCTGAGGCATACTGAGGCACTGACGGCATGAAAGTCGCACGGACGTTGCCTCCCACCCCCCGGGGCCAGTCGGCCCTGAGGGGATGGTAAAACTAGCGAGCCAGGTAACTCCAGGGGCGGTCACCCCTGGAGTCGCCTGCTGGGGGGGAAATCGGTAGCTGTAAAGTTCCTCCTGATTCCTGAGTCCTGATGGCATGAGAAATCCTCGGTTGCCGCCCTCCTCCTCCTCCTCCTCCTCTCTCTGCCCCTCCTCCTCCTCCTCCTCCTCCTCCTCCTCCTCCTCCCTTCGTCGACTGCCACGTCTACGTGGACTGCGTCGTCTTGGTCGTCTGCGTCTACGGCTTCAAGCCGAATGGATCCCATCGTCCGCTCACCCACGAAGGGCCTGCCCAGCGGACCCTCCAGAGCGGGAGGGCGGTCGGTGCCCCTCCGCGATCGGAAAGCCCCCTGCCGTGACAGCTCGAGGGCTCACCCACGTGTCCACTGCGACCTCCCACAGTCGGCGGCGAGACTCGGGCGGGGGGTGAGCACGAGAAGGCCCCCTCAGAAGGCTCGGAAGCCCCTCGACATTCTGGGAAGTTGTCTACGCCGTCCCCGAAGGCACAGGAAGCTTTTCAGATGGCCCGAGGGCTTCTGAAAAGCAGAAGCCCCGCCGCCTTCTGAGAGGGCTCTATCCCTCTGACTTCCCCCCCTCGTTCGCCGTCGACACTGAGAGCAGGCCGCTGACACGGCCCGGCATGGATAGAGCGACTGCCCCAGCAGCGGCAACAATCATGCCGCGCGGACGCGGAGGTCAGGAGCAGAGGCCAGACAGGGGCGCCTCGAGCCCATCCTGGCCGCCGGCGTCGCCACGGATGGACTCTCATTCTTGGTCGGGGCAGGCGGCCATGTGGACACGAGGTCGGGAACACGACTCACATGATGCACATCGGTGCTCATTCATCGGGTGATTTACTGTGACGAATGTTGGTGCTCCTGCTGGTGGGGGCGAACCGATGCAAATCGGTGCCCTTGCATCTGGCATGACCACTTACCGACGCAAATCCGTGCTCCTGCGGGCGGGGGTTTACTGACGCATATTGGTGCCCGTGCATATGATGGAAATCGGTGCTCCTGTTGGTGGCAGTTTACTGACGCAAATCGGTGTTCGTGCGTGCGGCGACTCCTCGAGTCCATCCTGGCCGCCAGCGTGGCCATGCCAGGACGTCAGCTCGCGGTGCGCAGCTACACCGCCACCTGGCGCCTTCGACTGGACGACACAGATGGCGCCTTCGACTGAATGCGGAGGTGCATGACCTACGTCTTCGGATGCCTCCGCATCCATCTACGCAGATCCTCGTTCACGAGGTGACGAAAATACTTCGAGTGGCTGCAGCAGAACCGCACCTCCCGCGAGGACTACGAGGAGGGTGTCCGCAGGCATGCTGACGCCCAACGGGAGGCCCGACAACTGCCGGATGCCCGCACCCCCCTCGTCATGCGCGGCCTCCCTGGAACCCAGCACACTCGCGGCTCTGACAATGACCTTGTTTGTCATTTTCCAAGTAACGGTCGTTGTGGGCCTGGGTCGGGGGGTCGGGCGGGACGTAACGGAAATGACGGCCGCGGCGTGCAACCGCCGCCAAGGTGCGTCCGCGCCAACAGCGCATCAGTCACCAGCGTGCACCACAGCATGTTGGGGGGTCCAGGCCCTCCCACCCCCCAGCACGATCGCTAACGTTACCCAGCAGGGGGGGGCGGATATCGATCGTTACCCTGGGAAGAACAAAAAGCGCTCACATAGCGGGTTCGAAGCTGCCGCAGATGCTGAGGTTTCCTGCTGCACGGAGACACGGACCCTGCCTGAGGAGCCAGGGAGGTGGGGCCCCCCACCCTCGGTCCGCCCTCCGCGCCCTGCTTGGCGGCCTCCAGCACACAGCGCCCATACGCCTCCTCGCGCAGCCCAGCGCGGCGACCAGCGCCACAACTGTGAGCGGCAGACGCCCGTTCACAGATCACCGATCGACTGAGTCAGAGCTCTGACGGCCAACGTGTCGAGCTGGGGGCGGCCAACGGAATGGGCGCCGTCCACGCGATCCCGTGACAGGAGCACCACCTCGTCAAGCCGTCGCAACTCGTCTCTGCCGCCACAGATGATCCACCTCGTGCCAGCGGTGCGCGCGGAGCGTGGCGGCTCCTCGGCAGGCGTTTGCATCCTAGTACGCTCGTAGGCCGAACTCCAGAGGCCCTCGTTTGCCAACAAGTTAACGCATATCCGCTGCAACGTACGACGGGGCTTTTGGATGACGACCGTGGGTGTCAAGGCAAGCATGTGTGAGGTCTGCGCACTTCCGCGACAGGCAGGAAGTCAATAAGGGCAACGCACACTTGTTTCAAACATTTGGAACAGTGGATCGCGTGATGGTCAAGCCCTTCGTGATCGGGGCAGGCTGGAAAGTGGTGCCAGAGGTCCTCGACCCTTACCACCTGCTGCCCTCGTTCAGCTGCAGGCGGGCATGTCCCAGGAGGCCCGGAATGCACCGCGCCAGAGTGCGCGCGCGAGCTCGATAAGTTCTGATTAGTTGATTTCACAGGGATTGAAGCTGTGGAACGCTTCGGCGGCTTTGCCATCCGCGCACACGTCGGGGCGATCATTCGCTCGGCTGCGACGCCGCCGACGCACAGTTTCAGTCGTGCGCAAGCTGCTAGCCTTCCTGCCGCGGCCCATCGTAAGGCCTCAGTGGCCAGCCCCTAACTAGCGACCCGTCCTAGAGCAGGTGAACACGACGGATGGCCTCGATCAAGCGTGCCCGGCGTGGCAGACCAAGTACGCAGATGCGACCATCGTGCATTACAAAGCGCAAGACACTGCCGAACGGCATGGCGGTAGAGCCAACGGCGCTAACATCGACTAGCCCCAAGTGGGGTGAAACCGACTACCGTGGCGAACGGAGACCAGCCCAGACTATTGCGATGCTCGCTGCGCACTGGTCGTGGATGGCGGATCGTCTCGCACTGCACCGACAATCTCGCCATGGCGACATGCAGGCGACCTGCCAACGCTCGCGCCAAGTCCGAGCGCGACTCCGAATATTTCGCTGCCGTCACTGCAGAGGCCCGCCTTTCCCGACATGGGGAGGACGTGGCGGTTTAGGATGAGGATGCTCCTATACACTTTGGAAGAGGACCTGTCCTCCCCGGCGGTGGCCTTCCAGCAATGCGCCCGCCTGGCTTCCAGCGAAGCAGCCTACAAGAGATGCGCGCCCTGGCTGGATTGGACCCGCGGCACCACCGGCGACGAGGGCATGAAGTTCTTTTTTCTGCTGGGCGCAAGAATCGGCAACCTGGTCTTCGCCGCGCTCTGACCCCAAGCCAGGCCTCTAGACCTGGCCATCTTCTGGACGCCCATTCACCGAGCATGTGTCGGCGCCGTATGTTTGTTCGCAAGGAGATCCGATATGCTCCTCACTGGAACTCGCTAAGGGAAAATGCGAGCGTCCGAGCGATGCCAGCTTGTCCGTTATCCTTCTCCGTCTCGAAGTCAGGCGCAATCTTTCGGCTGCTCCACGCATGCGCCCTGCCCCCAGGGCCGCGGGGCTTTGCGGTGCAAGGATAGCCGCCCCACGCTGCGCGCATCGATGAATTTTGGCACCGTTGCATCTCAACGCACGCACTGGGAACACGTCATGTATCCTGAAGCGCCTGCGGCTTTCCCCTGGCGCGGTAGTCGCCGCCCGCGTAGCCTGTCTGTCTCGAAGACTTCGCGATGCCATCGCGCATGCTCAGCGTTCATTGGCTCGGTGGCCGTTGCCTCCACGAGCCGCTTGCCAAACCGCTCGACGTATGTGTCCTTATGCTTCTCCGTTTCGGACAACGAGTCATCTCCCTGTTCGAGCAAGAGGCCAGACCCTGGCCTTGCAGTTTCAAACGGCCCATGCACATCTATCTCACTCTGAGTCGCAACCAACGCGCCGATATCTTGGGCCACGAAGCCTTGAGATTCCGGAAAAAAAAAAAAAGCTCAGAGACGCCCGTAGCTGGGCGGCCACTGCCGCTGCTTCCATTGC